GCGACCGATGTCAATCCAAGTGGCGAGCATGGCATCCACGGTGCGCTCCGGATAAACCACGTGTCCCACGCTGTACTGGATTTGTGGCTGTGATAAAAAGAGGAATACACTAAGGGGACAGCACAGCACACAAAGTCATGCTTTGTAATGCTCTGGGAATGAAGTCGAGATTGGGAGTAGCCCCCAGGAAAAAACTGAAAGATGTGACTTCGAAGATCCTAAACGCAGGATTGAGTCACCGAAAACATCGCTTGCTACTCATCCCTGTAACGATGAGTCAGTCTGTCGGAACGCATCATTAGCTATAAAACAGGTGGCAGGTTTCTTAAGCAAGAGGAACGAATTTCTCGTCTATCACGTGTCCTGCATCATTCGACATTTCAGTCTTATTTTCGGAGCCACCCACATGCATTTAGATGTTATGCTTAAAAATGCTTGTAAAGCAAATACCTAATCAACCTATTGTGCCAACAAGGTGAACTATGAGTGTATCCACTAAATAGTACATTGGCCTCCAGTTTCGTGTGAACAGCTTAATGCTGTGCCCTTCTCCAACGCTGTCACCACGCCAACAACCTGGTCGATTGGCAATAAATGTCGTAACGGGGACCCTCTCTACGAAGCTAGACGCTGTCACAAACCAACAAACACCATAGCCTGTCTATTATCCATTTCGGAAAGTCGTTACTACATTCTCCTCATCTTACAGTGCTACAGGGTCTGGAATTTATCACCCTAGCACCTCTGGGACTTTACTTCAGCCTCCCTCACTTTCAAAACGAACGACTAATGTTGCTGGGCGTTGGTGACGCCTTTCGGAGTCAATCGCTAGTTTGTCTTGATTGATATTTACTTGTAAATGGTTATTCGGTGTCATTTTGAGTGGTCTGTGCCTTTTCAAATACTTTGACACAACATCTTTTAAACCCATGGTTGACTACTTAGTTAAGACTAAAACCCATACTGGTGTAGGGTGAGTGGCAGGAGGAAGTTATACCTCTCAGGTAGGGTAATCCTCAACTGCCTTGTGGCCACTTAAACATGTCGACTGTCTGGGTTAGCAAAACAGTGATGAGCAGTAAGTTGAACCTTGAACAAATCAATCTTGTTGTTAAATATTGGAATTAGAAGCCTCCTTTAAATTTTATATTTTTTAAAGAAAAACGGCCTCAGCAATAACCTGACGTATAAGGTTGCCGACAGCAGGAGTATTGGCTGAGCAGCATGCATGCAGTTGTGCTACGCTGATGAGGTAAAATCGTACTGACTCACGCTCAGCAAATTCCATCAGTCATGCAAGACTTTATAGGCATAACTACTTGACACACTAAATGGCACAACTGCGTTTAGAAAGGTGGTAATCTGATGAGTTTCTTGCCTTCTTGCTGTATCTTTACACAACACAAACTTTAATCACAGCCAAAATTATTAGTTCAATCCTGCAAGCAAACCCTCACATGGTTTGAAAGACATTAGCTGCATATAGATTTGTATATTAACAAAGAAAGGAGATGTATAAAATTATTCATGAGAGGAAGGTGGAGCTTCATCAGGGACAACGGCCAAGACAGATTTTGTAATTGCCACGGGGCATTAGTCTGCCCAACTGTCGAAATCCTCGACCAATCCCTCGTCCAACTCGGCTAAAAGCACGTCCGATGCGCCGGAAGAATCCCGCGGGTGCCAAAACAACCTCACCCGCGTCCTCTCCATCTGCAGACGCAGAGCTCTCACCCATCTTCACCCACACCTCCACATCGTCCATCCCGGCATCATCGTCCTCCTCCTCCTCCTCCGCCGCCGCCATCTCCTTCTCAACCTCTTCGCTTATCACCTGCTCCAGGTCCGAGATTGTCGCGTCCTCCTGTCTATCAAGCACGTTGTCACTGCGACCTGGACTCTTTGTTACGGCCGCGAATGCGCCACAGGAGAGCAGCACCAGCAGCAGAATGGCAATGTTGGCACGGTTGTTCATATCTGGAAGGCTAACTGTCTATGCCTGTTGAGGGATTCCATCGTCCTTATATACTGCTGGGGTTCGTTTGCACCACGCCGATTTCCGCGTGGGTGTTGTTTACTCAGGCTCGTGATCTTGTCCACCCGCCCCGCACACACTGACTGCCACAAAGGAGCGTGTGTTTATACCAGTGAATGCCTGAACGGCCACGTGGGTGTTAGTGCCTGTCGATTGCGTGCGAAGATGTCTGCACCTTCGTCAGCCACAACGCCTCCTGTGTGGGTGGAACTTGACATCCACGCATTGCAAGTTTCATCTTCGAACTCAGCGCTTGATTGTGAATAGGGACCAATGAGTGCAATTCTGCTAGCGTCTAGTCGGCATCAATGTCATTGCGGTTGGTGAGATCAGTGTTAAGCTTACTCCTTATAAATCTATCGGCTACATATTTACCTCAAACCAATAGAAATAATTTCCTCGCTGAACCACCTGGATTAATACACAAAATACCGGCCTTCCTACATGCCTAGGTAATTGTGATTTACCCTTGACGTGTTGATGAGTTAATTCGAATTATCTGAGATGAATTAACCACACTGGAATACAGAAAGGAGCACATTTTATGAATACTATGTGGGCTAATTCGTTGTGATTGAACTAGTAGCTGAAATTGAGAGTTTGGACTTAAAATGCGGACATAAGAAGTCGGACAGATACGTGCAGTTGCGTATTACCCCTTTCGTAGTCTCGAGTTCTGATGTGAGTTGTGTTTTGGTAGAGTTTTGCTTTAGTTAGCATCGTCAAATTGGCTTGGAATTCAATTTGTTTATTACAAGATGGTCGGTGTTGTATTTCCACACACACAGAGCAACGTGCTTTCGAATCGTCTTGTGTCTCACAGATTTACAATGAGGTTATGTGCTGGTAGGGGTATTTCGTAATAGCTATGGGTGCTGAACAAACACTGCTTATGAACGCCAGATGCCTAACTGGTTTCATCGAATGTGGCATCAACTGTGACATTAAACATAGTTCTGAATGTGGCACGAGGTGACAGAGAACTTGGTTAATCGAGTGAGTGTCAACAGGGAGCCGGCCTTATTTTTGTTGAGAAAACTCAAATAATGTCAGAGCATCGCCAACTAACTTGATCCAGCAACTACCTTTAACTCAGCCTTTTTGAATGCTACCTTCTCAGAGGCCGACGTTTTGCTATGTTAATGCACCTCGATGCACGCCAGCGTGTCGTCATATTGTTGAATCTCACCACGACAGCACAACGACTCGATTACAGCTTGCATTTTTTCACATGTCGACGTGGCGCATTACTTGCCACCTGATACGTTATTTCATTCACACGTCGAATTGCTTGCCATCTAAGTTAACGTGCATTTCGATAACAGAAAAATTTGTCCGCAAGTCCAAACCAAAGTTGCGAGGCCAGGAAGAGATTACTGCTGCCTTAAGTGTGTTGTCTCTACAGGGGCACAGCATCCTTCCGTTAATTCTCCTGCGCGTTGCGTTGCGTTTCAGGTTCATGCAGACTTCAACTACATCCGACTTTTTTCTAAGTTCTTTTTTCGCAATAAGTTGTATTTAACGTTGATGCCGTATTTGTCCACTAATTCTACCGTCTCCATGTGAAATTAGTTGCGCTCCGTGGAAGGCGTCTGCGCTGATTTCTAAATGTCGACTTGGGCTAAATATTGTTGCTGTTATATTAATCTTGTAATTGTGAGCGTAAAATCTTAGGTAGGTTTAGTCCATTTGTGAATTGCTCAGCCACTGTTAGAAAATTACCTCAGAACCAGGTTTCCCCTCACTCCGATCATTTTATGGCGATTTTTCCCAAGCACTTAAGAACATGCCTGAATTGGTTACAAAGCAAAGACGTGTTTGATCAAAACATTTGTCTTTTGGGTACAAAGTAAAGTTGAATATACTGTTCACAAAGAACCCCACACGACCTAAAATGTCAGTTTCTGCAATCAGAAGCTTTTGCAAAGCCTACAATTACAGTTTCAAAATTTCGTGTTAACAGTTACAAGAACGTATTTTTTTGTGAAATTCATATGATTTTATCGACATGCTGTCATCGACGGGTTGTTTTCCAAATTTGTTAAAATAACCACTTTGTTATAAGTTCTGCAGAAAGTCGAGATTTAATCTACATAAGTGGTTTCGCTCAACTAGCTATATGCCTCTGTGTCATTTTTGACTAAACTTGAGTGTTTTTGGTTAAACTTGTTGTACGTCTGGACATGTGGTCTTGACTCACGCCTGACCACGGCGTTGAATCTGGTCCGAGGCACTCGAGAAGCTGAAGAAGAAGACCGGAGAGGACGTGGACACAACCGTTTATTACATAGCTCAACCGACCTGTTGTCGCTGTTTCGTGTGTGGCGTTTGCGTGTGTTTATTTATGACTCGAAAGTGTGAAACAGCGAGAGTCATAGGTGGGCTAACATTGAGACCTGGGGGAGTTTGTTATAACACGCTGGGGTATTGTGTTGTAGAAGGGAGCGACTGGGGTGACCAGGTTTGACTAAACAGAATTCACAGCAAACTAAACTCCTATCGGCAAACTATTTCTATATGCTATCATAGTGGACAGCTGGTATTTTTAGCGCTAAATAATATTGTTACTGAGTTAGCATAAATAGCGTGTATTAGCTGAGAGTAATTTTGATGTTCTGATGTATGGAAACTCGAGCACAGCCGCCTCGGGGTCCGCTAACACCGACTAAGCGTGCCTACTGTCGATTCACTGATGGGTGGTATTTGTAGGTGGGTGAATACATGCATCACACATCTATTCAGCAACTTTCTTCGCGCTAAGGGAATAAAGAATTTATTGTGTATAGAAATTTTTCATGGTGTTAGTGTTGAATCAAACAGGAATCAGTTATTTGAGGTCTTTTATCAAAATAAGTGAGTTTCAACTTGCAAATAATCATGGAAAAAAGGCATGAAGCACACTGATGGTGCTGTTGTGCAGGCAGCCAAAAGGCCCATGTTGGGAATATTCAAAAGAGCGCCTCAAGGCATCCGCGAAGTGAGACGAGGAGCACGAGGAGGAGCGGCACCGTCAATGTCGGGTTGTCGGCGTGGTTGCAGGCGTTGCCGCCACAGACGCACATCTCCGTCCAGCGACCCTGGGACATGGTTAGTTGGCACTTCTGCTCGTTCTCCTTCATGCCCGAACTGGCGCAAAAACGTCGAACTAGTTTTACCTCTGTCGAAAAGAAAGACAGCTGAATTATGCTCCCGGCGATTCGCTCATTTCCATCAAAACATTCCAGTCTGTCTAACTTGGCGAATCATTATCCTTCAGACCATCTACTGTTAGGATGTAACTCTTGAGTCCCAATTATTCAATGCAAAAGAGAATAACTCAACGGCACGTTCATTTCCTTTGCCAAACCCCCCTACTTAATTTGCATGCAATGACAAAGGCGTTTTTAATCCCCGTGACATGCTTTATGGGAAAATCGTTAAACCCTCTGTTGCCTTAATTTAAAACAAAAAACGGGACTGATTTCCCAAATGAAAATTATGTTTTCGGTCAGGGTTAATGTAATGTACTGTAGCCTCTTATTGTAAACAGATTTTCCTTTTCATTGTGAAGTAAGTTTGACAAATTTTACTTTAGATAAAATAACTTGTGTATTTGTGGCCCCTACACATGTATTTCGTTTTCCGATCTATCAAGCAAGTTTTAACCTTCTGAATCAGAAGCACTGATGTGTTACTACGTCCTGATAATGTAGCGAGTAGAAACTCAATTTTATTTAAAGTCCACCAGGAAGAATCGACGTTCTTTTGTAAGGTGCAAAGATTCATGGATTGAATAATAAACCATTCGGTGCACGGGAGACTGAAATATTGGTCAAGGGGTCCGCAGACGCATTCCAGAAATTTTTGATGGTTAAATAACTATTTATGTTGGTTTTTGTACAAGCGCCTCATTCACGGGAATCTGCCTTGGACACAGACATACCTCGTTTTTCAGGTCTTTCACGATTACGGATACATGGGGCTTTCCAGTTCACACTGTAGTCTCCCTTTCATGGAAGACAAAGTATTCCGCACATGATCACTCTGCCTCTGAGAATTCGTCATTTCACAGCAAAACAAACTTATCATAACAGAAATCTGGCTTCGAAGCCAAAAGATGAGTCAACTAAGGGTTTTTTTTATAAATACACTCAAGAGCGCTTTTTGGATCAAGCGAACAAAATTGACGAATTTATAAAGTACTACTGTTTTACATGATACGCGGTACTTTATCATCCTACTGCAATGAGAAATTGACATTTTTTGTCATGTTAACTAGTTATGGAAAAGCCCAGGCTCGACGACCGGATAACAAGAAAAAGTTAGTTCAAATTACGATTCTTCTAGGCAGACAAATAACATTTTTCTTTGGCTTTCGTTGGAGTTAAGCAATGAAATGTCATTTTCCTTTAAACAAACAACCATTCTTTCTTGAAATAACAAGACTGATTAGCTGAGGTGGCTTGTGTCCTGACAAGTGAACTTGATCTATTTTCCTACAAGGTTAACAACACGTTCAAGGTTGTCGGATTAACGTAATCGATAGGGTGAGGGGTGAGGTCACGGGGCATAAGTGGCTGGACCAGTCATTCGGATGTAGACGTTCTTGCACCACCAGGGTACCAACACTGTGTCAACCTCCTCTGGCATGTTGCTGCTGGGTCACTGGAGTCGGCTGATTCTGTTTACTGTTCTAATGCTGGCCTAGAGCTTGAAACACTTGTTGACTCCAAGCCCCTGGGGTTGTAGGCGTTCCGGCGAGTGTGCTCGGTCGTCTCTAGCAGAAGCCCTTAGTGATGATCAAAGCGCTTGCAGACGAGTGCTAGTGCTTGGATGGCTCACAGAATGACACCAAATACGTCCATTTTGGGGGGAAAAATAGTTTTGAAATTAATCAACTTCATTAAACTGCCAAATTTCACAAAACCTTAAATTCTGGTCCAGCCTTTTTTAGTATACTGCAGACACTTGTCCAAGTAAACTAAACAGATCCAAAAAGATCTGTATTCTTTGAGACCGCACTTGATCAAGTTCAGTTTCCTCAAACGACATTGGTCCCGTCGCTGCAAGCCCGTCCGGGAGCTTCCAATCGCATTCTTGATCATGCGAAGCCACTCGAGATTGAGTCAACGAAGTGTGAGTAAAGTCTTCAAGGTGGATGCACCCGGAACTTAGCATTTACCAACCATTTTACCGATGGCTTTACCGGTTCTGTTTCGCAAATGATGTCATCCGAACGATTCGGGAATATTCTGGCTGGCCATAAGGAAATAGCTCAACGACTTCAATCCACATAGAATACACCCAAACTGACCCTGTTGTAGTGACCACACAGTTCGACTTGATTTGACTGGCTGGTTGTGTGGTAGTCAACTGTCAGAGTTAACGTTTAGCAGAGCAAGTGAAATGGGTCAAAAGTATCATTGTAGCAATGGGGTCTGTGTAAAATACCACTAACACAAAGTGAGGAACATGTCACGGCAAAGCTACAAGACTTACCCCGTTCACCTCCAAAGTTGACTTGCTGGTAGGACTTCGTCACAAGTTTTCCGCATCCTCTGGGCTTAAACGTGTCAGTTTCAACGCTAAAGTTAGATAAAACTGCATTAACACGCAGCACTTCTGGTCGATTTTCTAAACAAGTAAATCGGGAACACAGGATCTGCTACTGAAATATTCGGCCGTTTTGACGAGTAACCTCCGCATCAATCAGTAGACAACCAAGTTAAGGTGTTAAAACAAGCGGCATTATGTTCCAAATAAAGGCATTGCAAAAAAAGTTCTCTATGTATATATTAATAAAGCATTCGTACAGGCCTACCGTGTTAATTCAGCTTGTCGAAGACTAGCGTTTTGGACTTAGGGAAAATAAATCAAAATAACTACCCTAATTCAGGCAGTGCAAAGCACAAACTGCTTGTATCATCCTTCTGCTTGCTGTCAGATTACTTAGTAAACAGTTCACTTATTTACTGATCGATTTAGACATGCACCATTAAATAAGGGGCTAGGGTATTGTCAAAAAACGCTGTATTTAAGCAATTTAAGCACAAAATGAAGAAAGCGCTCTCATAACAATTGTTGCCGAATTTTCTGATTACTGAGTTAGGGCGCAGTGGTTAATAGGTTTGGCTACAACACAAAATGTTATTTTATAAAGTAAGCTGACCCATATTTTCAGTACAAATGATTTGCCTGCTGGGATCCCAGCCCATAGGTTTGACTTTTAGCTTCGAACACATACAGCTCTTGGGTAACTCTTTACTGTAAGTAATTTGAAATGTTTATTTGTTCTGCAGGCATATTCAGAGGTTTCGTGAGCTTATTTTAGCCTGTAATATGCTTTGATTGTCGTTGTATGGAATGATGACTGTACTATTAACTTTAAGTGAGACCTGTTAAGATTAAATGACGGCATTTGGATAAAATCAATTTGCTCTAATTACTGAAAACGACATAAATTATCCCTCATATTATTAAATGGTATGTAAAAAAGCACAGTTAATCTTCATTTTGTCAAGTGTCTTATTAGGTGGCGATTGATAAAAGTGGTCTGCTAAAATTTTAAACGCGTGAGCGAATTCATGTTTACCGACATATGCACACCCGCACTACGACTGATTTGAAGACCCCAATTTAAGCCTTGTGCTCATTTGAATGCTCTGTGTTCCCAACTTTTAAGTAAGTATCCACGAGTTCACGTATTTTACACTAGTAATGGATATGAAAATAACAACTTCTTTAACGCATTTATATTGCAGCAAAATTCCACATTCCTCTTTAGGCGCAAAACTTTTCCTCATGATTAGATCACCGACTAAAAGTGGTAAGGAAAGACGACTGTTTCATGTCAAATAGACTTTTCCAAAAAAGGAACAGATGGGTAGGAGTTGAGGCTGAAATTTCCTCTGTAAATGAGGACCCCTGTTCTGACGTTGCTCGGTCTTCTAAATGGTTGCTTCGGAACCCCCATTGGCCTAACACTTCGCCTTTGTGGTAGTCTTCTTTTCCTCATTTTATAGCATTAACGTGAACATCCTCATTGACAACAGTAGTTTCCTAATTGTTTGGCTGAAGCACAAGGCTCAAATAGCATGAAGGAATGACCCACCATTTTTGTATAAAATCCTCAGTTGGCTCTTCGCATATGCGGTTCTCCATCTCCCATTGGACGTAAGTTCGTCCGGTCAGGTTTATGCTAGGTGGCTCACACACATAGCAGCTGAGGTTCTTGTGAAATGGCGTAAAACCTTAGTTCATGAAGGACCAGTTTTAAGTAGTGACAACAATGAACTTACTTCTTTCGTAGGAAGTTAATGATTGACCGTGGACTGCCAATAACCCAAACCACAATAGGACAGGTACGTACCGTGTATAGATGTCCATGTTTGTTCTACGTGTGGCCGTGATGCATGCCAAATTTAAGACAAATTTGAACTGCAGTCTCATTGGTTCCTTTCATTTAAGCAGGTGAACTTAGCGACGCCGAATTAGCGCGTGCGTAAGTGCCCGAGACAAAAACACGTCACCTGCACGGCCTTGTCCTAATACTGCAGCTTGATTTATTTCAAACCACCCAAAAGCAGTAATTTAAAAAAGACAAAGGTTATCCATTCTTAGGATGTAGAATATCAGTGCTCAAGTACTTTTACCTGAGATAAAACGGCATACTTAAGCTGTAGGGCGGTAATTGATGCCCACAAAGAATGCAAGCAAAGTTAGAAATGTAAACCTGTGCAAACTACCTACCACTTACGGTGCTTAGGAATCAAGTCGAGCACTTCTTTCTGACTACGATGCGTTGATAACTAACTGTCAAACTGCATGTAACCTAAGTAATGAATTTTTGAGTGATTCAAACATGGAGATGGCCTGCAACCATTATAAATTATGGGATTACACCAGACCGGATGATTATCCTTGAATTTTCTTGCGATTTCTTTGTTATCAGTCTAATCTGACTGATTTTCGGCTCTGAACGCATCTCTCCACAGACCACACCGACCCACTCAACGGCTGTAGTTTCAATTTAACTCCCCTCCCCCCTAACCAAGCTTTCGATTGTCATGCAGAGCTCATGCATGAACTGTTCTTTGTACTGTTCGAGTCACATATTACCACCAATATGCATTTTAAAATTAAAATTATTGGGCCTATACTTTTGGCTGTCTTTGAACTCGCCTAAGTCCGAATAGGCCTCTAAACAGTATGAAGGTTCTGAACTGATAAGAACCATGGAAGCTGTCATACATAATAAGGGCCTTGACTCTAGTCTTGCTTAAAAGAGAATGCGATCTGATTCAGCTACGAGTGGACTGAAGGAGACTGGTGAACTTCCAGACACGTGACGTACCTCCAGGTTGCAGTTTCCCACTTCATCGTAGATGCCGTAACTTGAACTACTATCACTTGGTTTGAGGGGCAGAAATCTCTGCATGTGGAGAACGGAACTGCTGAATTGCTTTCATCAAAACGACGTATTACGCCGAAGAACAGATTAAGCAAAGCGGGTCTATTTAAAGCTCGGACTAATGAACTGGCTGGTGAATTAGCGACTATTTCAAGTCTCCTCGAAATTCGGGCTTGAATGATTTGGCTAAGCCACCTGTCACATGGCTCTGTGCGGGACCTCCAGAAAGTGTGTGTTGCCGCGTCAAGGGTCACTGCGCCAATGGTTTACACTTCGAGTCCTTTGTTTACATTCACTTACGATGTCACCACCAGTTCACTGATCGAGGACATGAGCGTATTTCTATCGCACAAAATAGCCCGCTCGCTCCATTCAGCACCACTGACAAGTTTAATTAGAGGACTGAGTGCTTTTTGTATTCGTAGGCACCATGGAGTGTGAACAAGCCTTGTTGTGCATTCTCCGCCAAGTAAATGTTCAAAGCAATTAAGCCTTGGTGTGAAAACTGGTAAATGTGTTAAGGGTCCGTTCGATTACATGGGTGAAAGCAAGTACAATGCTGCCACCCAATGCCATTGTGAACCGGCCATAGGGGTTAGAAAAGCGTTAGGTTAAAATGATGAGATGATGTTTAGAAGAAATGCTCGCACAAATCGTTTTACAGAGGGACTAGTTGGTTCAGAGAAGGCTATAAAATAAGTTATAGTCTTGAGGTTGTTGGGGATCCACGATTCCCCAAGACTGGTTTCTGATGCTATTTACAGTTATTCACTAACATTTGTTTTGCTACGCTTTTTATCAAGTCAAGGTCAATCTGACTTGAATTAGTTTGACTTCCAGACTGCACGCCGCACGTGGCTGACGTGAATACAGCTCTCTACACGAGCTCTGGTCATGTTCTGGTATTAGCCTGGGAAGGTCGGTTCTAGCTTTCAGCAAGGGATCTGGTACCGTTATTTGAGTGGTCTTCTCTATTGTTACGGGCAAACGTAAAAGAGGTCTACCTCTCTACTGCGGTGTGCATGTTCACGCAGTAGCACGGTTTAATAGAGTGGCTCTACATAGACAAGGCCAAAGAGGCACATAAATTGGTTATTTTTTTATTGAAACTATTCATTCTGGAATTTGAGCCACTGCCAGTCCAATTTGTTTCCATGGGCGAGGTAAATACAACTTAACCTAATAGATTCACTTTTAAATTGGTCTGGTATGTGCTCTTTAAACACATTAAGCATAGTTCTTTGGCACCGGTACCTCTGTCCCAGTTTCAAGGACAATGGTTCATTTCATTTCACACCTGATACCCTTTTCTAGCATGGCTTTGCCGAAGACTTGAATTGTCATATTTAACTACAGCACTCCTTGTTCTTCACTGAGCTGGCATAAGGGCTTTTATGCTGGCCCATAGGACATTCTTTCGGTTTTTCAGCAAAGGGAAATCGGACTAACCGACGAAGATTGCATAACATCGCTTACTCAGTTTACAATGCAACTTTACCTGTAAAATTTAAGTAGAGTGTTTTCCGCGATATCTACCTCAAGTGTCCCCCGTGGCTTCTGACTAAACACAAAAGGCTCCAATAAAAGCAGGACAATTGTAGGTGCCATGTTTACTTGGTCATAAATAAAAAATGAATATGGTTATTTGGGATTCCATTGTTCACCCAAGTTTATGAGCTTGAGTGACGCCTGGCATAAAATTTTCCGGCTTTTGATTTCGCCAAATTTAAAACACCGCCTTTTATTTAATAAACGACTGCCATCGATTTCATAAAATCCCGTTGACAGAACCAAAGCACATATAAATGGACCTCAGCAAGATAGCTGTTTTCAATACCAGTGATGATAATTTGATGTGAAATTAGAAATTTGCGAAATTAGAAATAAAAATGGCTGCTCGCAAACTTGCGCAGTGGCTACAGGCAAAATTCACTTATCACTAATTGCTAGTGCCTAAATGAAATTTTAAACTCTTCAACATTAATTAAATTGTGGCGATTGAGAGTGTTCTCTGAGATGGTTTTAGTGCGAAGATGAAGAGATAAAAATGATGTAGTGCCCTTTCATTAACCTACCACAGAATGATGACAGGGTGGTGTAACAGAAATCTAAATGACAGTATTTTAAGTCCCTTCACTTGTTCATAACAACTTAACCTAGCGTGCGTATTGTAACTTTTTTGAACTAGTTTGGCAAGTACATGGAAACAAGCTCATTTCTTAGACAGGGTTGTGTTGCTGAGCTGGCCAATTACTTGCTGGGATCTTTGCTATTAATCGGATTCAGTAAAAGCCGCTTTCGAATATTAATAATTTGACGAAATTGCAACCGCTTGCTTAAGAGGGTCATGTTGAATCAATCCGTCGTGCTATTGGCTAGAAAGAAATGTGATGGCGGTGTTGTGAACATGCAGAGGTTCTAATGAACACCACGAGGTCACCTTTTGACAGCGAGGTGGTCACGTTGCCAAACGAACATCGCGTTGGCTAAACGTGGTGGGATGCAATCCGTAAGTGGCACGATCAAGTTATTGGAGCGTGCGTGATCAAGGTGAGGGTTGTCCTGCTAAAAATGTTGTAGAAAATAATTTAACTGCACTTTTATTGGCAACAAATGCGTCATAAAAAATGCCTATTACTTTCATCAGAGTTGCCTATTCCAAAACGCGGATCTTTCCTTGAGTAAGAGGGACTCAAAAAAGACATTAATTTACACTGATGAATTAAGGGACTGGACGCCAAACATGCCTTCCCGCTTCATTTTAGTCGTATCCCACGGCTGACGTTCATTGGTTAGTTAATAGTGTGCGTGATTTCGGAAATGGTGCGCCAATATGTAAATTCTGGCTAATAATTAATGCATGTACAAATATGGTGCATTTGCCAGTTCCTGCTTTCAACAGCATAAGTAACTCGGTCCTATGAAATATTTCAGGATTGGTCAAATGTATCTGTGGCGACAGCGAATAACCTTGTCTGGAGGTTGTGTTCGCAGAAAATTTGGTCCCTTTCTGATTAGCGCGCCTCCGCCGACAATATTTGAAGCACTATCACACGAAGTGGGTGAGAACAGGCGGTTCTACGAAAGAGCATGTATGACAGAATTGTGGGGAGAGCTCTCAAAAATTTACGGTAATCGAGAACGGACCGAATCGCTTGCTGTGGTCTGTGCCAAAAGTCGCACTCCGTGTGCCTTCTCTCTGGCGCCTTTACCCTGAGACCCTAATGCCTCACATTAATGTCGAGTTTTGGAAATTTGCCTTTGTCACTTTTAGGTGAATTAAATTCCACATGATTAGTGCAATAAACGTGGTTCTGTCAGGTTATGTTAATCAAATCAATTTCCAATATTTTTTTTTGTTTAAAACTCTGAATCTCCGATCACTTCACTGTACATACGTCCAACTGCTAATTCAATGCCTTACAGAGGGAAATGTCCAACTGTTTAACAAATGAACTCTTCGCTCTTTTCCACTGTCTTTTTGAAGCTTCAACCAACAAATCGTGGTCCCGTTTAACAATAAAGCTATTTTTCATTGGTATGAGGAGGCATTAACTTCTAAAAGTTAAAGAAGGGGCATCAAAAATGGGTGGTCTGGGGAAAAACTAAGGTAGAACTGGAAGAAACTTTAACCGTGATAAATTCTTGCAAAAAAATACCACAAATCATAGCGTACATTAGAAGAAGCTCGGACTAAAAGCCCGGTAAGCCTTCCCGGTTGTTTCTGCGAACCAACCCAACTCCCTAAGAGTTGCTCATCGTGTCGAGTTTTGTTATAACGGCGATAAAACCCTATCACGACTTGGGCAGACTGTTTTCACTTGCACACGCATTGGCCATTTGCAGCATCGGAAGTTGACTTTTGTTTTCGTGCTTTCCGCATGGCGTCCATTTTTTACAACCTTCCCTGAGTCGCTATTTTTTGAACTGTAACTCAAAGTTAGCTTCTCCGATAATGGGAGTTTTTGATTGTGGG